CAACCTGAAAGTTTCATTCTATGTGTTACTTGGCTGTGTTTGCGGTGGTTTTACCAGCAGAGTAAGTGGCAGATTTCCAGTTGTACCAAATGGTAAGTTTGTATCCTATGAAATGCGTTTCATGTGCAGATGCTCTAGCACCACCAGCGACAGCATCTTTTGCTCTGCCCTTTGCTCCAGCCCGAAAATGGCTGCTTGGCCYTGTTCCTGCTTCTTAGAGGAGGGAGCATAAGGAAATGTGGTTTTTGTGCTTGAGGCTGGGGGCATCTCTATAGATAGATCCACTGGGGGGTTTTCTCCAACATGTTCTGTAAGTTTAAATCACTTTGTTCGATTTAATTGGTAGCAAAAACATACAATTAARTTTTGATTTGGGTCTGAGGCTTACTTTTAGTTTGGCTATTCTTACTTGCTGTGGTTTTGYTGACTTTAGAGAGCAGCCCCAGAGCTCATGAGAGGGTTTTCTTATGCAGGGAACTAAAGCAAAGAAGTGTTGTAGCACTGTTGTACTGCTGCTCGGGGATGTCCAGGGTTAGTCCAAAGTAAAACCCCCTGAAATGCCCTTGGTGTGAGGGTCAGATCCTCAGTGCTAAATATTCTGCTTTTTGCTCTGACTCCTATAGTCTGGCCCATAGAACAGATGKAGGTRTCACCTAAGAGCATTATAAGAGGTMCTGAGCTGTCTGTGCTGAAGGCAGAAATCAACCRTGTAGACAACACTGGGGACGGTAAGGAATGTTTTCCCTTGTTGCTGTGCTKTTTTGGGGTAGCCAGCTCACACAGCAGGGAGTATTCATGCCTCWGTATTGGTACTAGGAATACAAACTGCCATTCCCAACTGGCTTTGGAGCTGGCTTTGTGCTGCAAATGCTTGTCCACTGGGAGCCAAAAGCCAGATGTGCTTCCCATAGTTTCCAGGCAGCACTGATCCATCGGATGACAGTAGCTATTGAGTGCTCTTATGGTGGCCCAGAGACACAAAGATGAAAGCCTGATGCCTGTCAACACCTCCCTTGCCATTCCTGTGTGTCTTCAATTTTCACTTGAGTCCACCTCACAAAAGCAAATTCCACAGATTATGATGCTACAATGTTAATAACCTTTTATTTTTTCAGAAAGAAAATCCCAAGTTTTATAATTTTGAACTGTCAGATGAATTTGGGRTACATTGAAGTTTGTCGTCAAATATTTTTCTGCACTAGCCTCAGCTGGGAACCAACTTTGTTCTTAGCAGCATTTTCTGCAGCATTTCCTGAATGGAAAGATGAAAGATGAACAATRTTTTAATGCCCTCTCAAACAAATGTGTTTTCGTGGAGGAAAAGACCTCTGATGAATAGCCCAAAGGAAAACACTGTAGAGATACCTGGAATAATTTCTTGGAGTGACTTCTGTTGTTTCCCAGCTGCTCTGCCTTTAAACAGCCTTTTACCCCAACTCAGGAACTCCACCAATTRCAAAAGCAAGAACTAAACAGTGCCAGATTCAAGTCTCAAAATACAAACCCTTTGAGATACAGSGAGCGAAGGGGTGGGGGCCTGGTTCATAAGAAAACTTCTAAGCATTACTGTAGCATAAATAATATGGCATCTTTCACCTCAAATAGCCTAACACTTCATAAAGTGATATGAGCCTCACTAGTTGCTGAAACACAGCTATTTCTGAAGTGGAATCTGATCCCTTTCTCTTTTTTTCTTTTTATTTCTTTTTTTCTTTCTTTTTTTTTAAGCCAGCAGACAGCAGTGTTTTAAGGTGGAGAGTGAAGGATAGAGTAWACAACCAATCATAAATAAAAATATRGGAAGGCTTTGCAAAATGAAAAGATCAAGCAAAATCTATTTTTATTGAYGACATGCATCCTGATGTCTCATAAACTTGTGTCCTAAATTTATAAATGCAGTTAATCTATAAGAGATACAGGCAAATCAAGTAAGATTTTGTCCTCTTTCTTTCAGCAATACTCTCTTACAGGTATGTGGTAGCAGATGCTTTGGTTCCTSTCCTCTCTTCGTTCAGTTTAATGTCCAAGTCCCGGAGCTGGCTGAGGAACCCCAAATTCGGGCAGATGTTTCTGTGAGCACTCACAGTCTTCAGAGCATCCACAAGTGTCATRTTTTCATGGATCATTAAAAAGGCAAGCACTATAGTTGCTGAGCGGCTCATTCCCATGGCACAATGAACAAACACTTTACCTGCAGAAGCAAAAAGGCACAGAAAGGTGAGTGTGCTTTAGCGTTTCTGTAGTGGAAAAGACAAAGGGAGGGAAAAAAATACTAGATATGAGAAAGCAGTGGTGACAATTAGTGGATCTTTCTTGCTTTCACCTCTCAGGCAAGGTGATATTTCATACCACCTCCTGCATCTAATTTAGGCCTGATATTAAAACGGTTGAAATTTTCTGTGGAAGGAGAAGATTTCTGTGACTAAACTTGTTGGTTTTTCTGGGGAAAAAAACAAATTTTGGCAGAAAAATTTGGMCCAGCCCTGACTGTGATCACTGGCAAGTCCCACAAACTCTGTGGGATAGTCTGCCTGTAAAACCGGAGTCGTAATTTACTGTATCTCAGCAGCCCAATGTGAGCTATAACTGAGGATTTAATAAAGCACTCCAGCAAAAGCAGCAGATTCTGCAGCCAGTCAGAGTCAGAGCAAACTCTGGAACAAATGGAAATTATGATAACTAGGCTATAGTCCAAACTCTGCTGACAAAAATTCAGCAGGCTGCGGGTCAGGCTCGTAGTTTTTGACTTAGTTCATTAACTTCTGCTGCTTCTCTAGCTTAATAGACAGGCTGAATAGAGCTCCAATTCTGTGAAGTACTTAAGCGTGTGAAGCAATCGAGCCAGCACCGAAGTGCCGCTCCTCCCACAGGGAGCAGGAGCAGCATGCAGGGCAGGAGCCCCTGCCAGTGCGAGGGCTGGGAGGAACGTGTAGAAGCACACAGATCCTGCTGATTCCTACAGAAAGGGCCCATGGGGCAGCATCTGCAGTACCATAGCATCTGCCCTTCCCTCCGCACTCTGGTCCCACCATGAGTGGGACCCACTCTTTCCACCATGCAGGGCTGGGGCAGCCAGTGTTCCCCTGCTCCCTGGGACCTGGCACAGCACCTTCCCTGCAGCACATGGCATAGGCACCCTTCCCCATCCTCTGCTCATATGCCTTGAAGCATATGCTGATTCTGAGCTCTGTTGGTGCCTGTTACTGCAAGGAACAGTCATTTGGCTTGTATTGGAGCTTCCTCCCTTATCTTTGCTTCYCTCTTACCTCCTGAAGAGTTTAAGGCCTTGCATATGAAATTGGCAGCATCGTAGAAGAAGACACTTAAATTGAAGGAAGGYTCATCAAATGCTTCTATTCCATAGTACTGTATTTGCAGATCTGCATAATATTTGGCTCCTGTGTTGATGTTATATGGTCCATCTGCTGCATTAAGGATATGAGTAATGTTGAGGCTTTGAAGCGTAGTTTTGTTCCTAGCAGCCCACCTGTTGAAAGATATGAAGGGCACATTGGCAACACTCCTAACATTCTGCAAAAATAGCATGGTTTAAAGTTAGTGCCTGCTCCCACTACAGAAGGATGCAGGAACTGCATCCTGCTTACACAGGAGCAAATTTCAAGAAGCACATAGTGCTTTGTGCATGAAAAATGTGATATGGAGGTGTGGAGAGCAGCAGGAGCACCGAGTCGCCAGTGGGATGCTGTCAGTTAAGCAAATGCCTCCCAGCAGTTAATCCCTGGGAACATGGTTTACTGTGTAAAGTGGTCAAGATTTTCCTTTAAATATTTGTTTAAGAARTTTTAGAGCTAATCTCCCATTGATAGTGTGCCTGGTCTCAAGAGTGAGAACTCACACAGATGCAGCAACACCTTGTTCCTGATTTGGACATGAAATGAATGCACTGTGTTCACCAGCTAGGGTGAACCCCACTTCCCACCATCAGCTGGGACTAAAGGTGTTTTACAAAATTGTGAACCTTAACTGATAGTCACGAGGAGGAGGAGCTGGGAAAAATGAGCTAATGAGCTAGGTAAGCTGCAGTAATCCAATTGGAAGGAAAGAGCAATAAATACTATTTGTCACAAGAATGAGGTATTTGCATGAAAATTCATGTTTGATATTTTCAGTTTTACCATCTTTGAAAWAAAGGTTGGATTTGGAATGTCAGGATCCCTATTGTACAATTCATTCAGGTCTTCYTCCTTCAGGCTCTTGATCTTGCTACCCCTATTCGAGTATGAGGGCTGCTGTCCYCTTGTCTGCTGTCTTAGAGCACAGTTTCCTGGCTACATACTGCATCTCAGAACTGACATCAGTTTGGCATAGGTTCTTTGTTAACTTTAGTCTAGAATACAAATAATTTTTACTGTGCCAAATCCATGATGGCTCAAAGAATATTAAAAAAACCAAGTCAGACACACTATGAGTAAGTCATCATTTTGCATGTCATGTTTTTCTTGACATCCAAGGTCTTAACATCATCAGTTTGGGAAGCCTGTATCACAAAAACATTCCCAAAGACCCAAAAACTGCTTCCCAGTGTACCACACTCTTTCCTCCTCCTCCCAGGGACTGACAACAATTTAACAAGAGAACCATATGTTCTTACGCATCTCCCAGGTAGATATTTGGCCAGACTTGGTCTACGTGATTATCAGACGCTGTTCCRAGCCACACAAGCTTCTGGAGTTCTGAGAGTGCTGGTGTTTCATAGGGAGTGCTGCTCGTCAGAGATGAAGAGTCTCTGGTGTGAGGCATCTTGCTGTTCCCTTGCATGTATCAGAGACAGTTTTCTGAAATGAATTAAGAGGAAATTTTCATACAGAAATACTATTCCCTAGGAAGTAGTCCTGTTCATTACCCTCCAAATAGGATTACATTATTAGAACTGTGTGTGCAGCAGGGCCTGCAGGTGTTGCTAAAAGCATCCAGAGAGCAGGACTGACTCAGGGGTAGGACTCTACAGGCATGTAATTTCTCCCCTGAGAAAGCAGCGTAAGATAATGCGATTTAACTTCTTGTCAAGTAACACTTGGTAAAGAACATCTGCACCACTAGAATACAGACTGGCTGAACCTTGTAGCCACAGGTACCATTTCTCTTTCCCTTGAAGAGTTACCAGGGTTTGTTTGCATACATTTGATTCTGATTAGTTAAAACGGTAAGTTTTTGAAAGAACGCGTCATTAAATTGACTTATACTTACAAAGATTCAAGAGCYAAGGTGGAAATCATCAGATGTGTATGTGAGAGACATCTGTATGGTGTGTGTGTACACACATATAARAAGTGTAGGCATACAGTTTACTTTCATTCATAGTGATGTATTTAAACAAACGTGCATGTATACCTGTATACACAGGAACAGATTTTCACGTGCATATGTAGACACGTATATATATGTGTGTATGTATAGAAGGAGAGATTGAGAGGATTTGGACTAGTTTTTTCTCTCTCAGTGGAATATCCCTGGACACTTAGCTATACTGGTGTTCTTGCGCCTGTCTGTCTCAGTCTCTCCTCTGGGAGCTGTTCCATTTTGTATAAATAAAGTGATAGCTACTTCCCTCCAGAGAGAGGCCATTTCTCTTGTCTGATGGGCAGGGTACTTACCCAGGATGTGAGAAGAAAGAGTATTTTTAAAATTATAGAGCTGGAAGTTCTGGCGTTGTTGTCCTGTTGAGAATCACATCTAGRGCTCCCTCACAGATCTGTGAGGTCACAGAACTGTGAACCCTCACAAATCACACAGTGGAATATTGGCAACCCTTTTGCAATGCTGTCTGCTAGTTTAGACCCAGGAAGCTTGGGGGAGCTGGTTCAACTGGAAGCAGAGCTCAATCAAGAGCAAGAGTGTGAAGATATCCAAGCAATCCCTTCTGTGAGACTTTAGGAACATTTCTCCTAAATGAGATCCTGCCTGGATCTCATTATTCTGAATGCTGTTCTCACCATCCCTGCGCCCCGCACCTCGCCCCCCGCCCCCCAAAAAATAATGGTGAGTTTTGGTTGCTTGTTCTTACTAGAGTCATAATCAATATGGAAGCCATACTAAAACTGTTCCCTAAGTAGGGTAAATGGTGTTTATTCTGATATGGCATCACCTTTCATTCTAATGCCTGAATGCCTAAACCTAAAGTTTGAGCTTATTTTCTCAGCGATTGTAGAAAACAAGTGCATAYGGGACCTTTGGAATTCATCTGGTCTGTCCCCTGCTCCACAGCAGCAGCAGCCAGGTGGATGTTGCTCTAAAACAACKTTTTCCATGTACATTATTTTTAACAGCATAGGATGATTTGGGGGAAAAGCAGAAAAAACAAGGGAGAACATCTTTTTGATAATGGAAAAAGAAGTGGAGACAATGTGAGGCATATTACTGAACATACATGTATATTTCTGTGACCTCAGCCTAAATTTGCTTCCTTTGCCCCTTCCTCCCTCCTCTTCCCCTCAAACATTAAGTGCAGTTATAGCTTTTTGTATGTTCCAATAAGAAAGAGGTCTCCCTAGGGTAACTACTTAATAAGCAAGATATGAAAAGCACAATAAAAGTGGTGGGAGACATAGGAAAAAAAAAAGATGACTGATTTTACTTTTAATGATGGAGGAAAAGAACTGCAGGGAAGTAGAGAGGAATATAGAGATAAAAGCCTAAGAATTTTTCATGGCAGATAATGTAACATCAAGAGCTTTGGTAAAGAAGTATGTTGTGCAATCCTAGCACAGATTAGCATGAAGAATAGCACAGAAACAGATATTGTGCATTGCCCTACAGGTTTTACTGCCTTGTGAAAGTCATGCTCAGTGCTCAAGAGCCACTGCCAGCATCTTCATGATGACCTGTTTGTACTTTCACGGGCACAGAACGTTAAGCTAAAGCAGTAAAAGGAAATCATGAAAAAGATAATACAGCTTCTACATCAGGAGATTCATAGGACCGCAGGCTCATTTTCAAGGAGTGTGGCTGACTCTGAGGTGCTGCAGATGCTTAAGGGCTGAAGTTGTGGAGCAGATGGATACCAAATTTGCACTTCTAGCCCCTGTYGCTTTAAACTTCTGTTGTAGTCTCTCAGTTACAGTAATGGAGATGATRAGCCAAGAGAATTAGTGAGGCCTCTYGTTCAAGACCTGACTCTGAGGAGGYTCTCCAAAAATTGAGTCATTTTGGTGCCAGTGACACTTTGCAGGTGACTGTGGCCTTTGCAGCCGGGGAGATGCTTTGCAACAGAGSTCCCTTTCACAGAGCAATCCGTTTTCCAGAAAGTAAGCCAACATTGTTTTATTCACATGACTAATGCCAGRCAAGTGAGCTCTTCACATCAACACAAGCACAGCTCCTCCCAAGGGCATCGCTCCAGCCTTGCTGCACTGGCCTTGAAATTGGATTGCTCTACAGGGCCTGAGGGGTAAGCTTGGAAATAGCTATAGCAGGTGATTGGCCTAATGAGGAAAGCAATATGAATTTTTCAATTGAAGGCCAGGGACTTTGGTGAGGGTTTCCCCCCACCTTCTACTTAAGATACTGCAGAAGTAGCAAAAGTGTTGCTACTGATTACATTTCTCTAAGCTTCTCCCTTTGGGTGGCTCCCAGAAACCGCTCTAGTTGGAAACAGTCAGCTGCTGCAGGAGGGCAGGAATCCCTGTACTTGGGGGAAAAAATATTCTGTCTAACAAGGTCACTAACATTTTCTGTAGAGATCTAGATCATACAAATTGGGTCGGATTACTTTTCTCTTAAACTGTAGCCATCTCATGAGATTTCTTTATTTCTGTCTGTCTATCTATCCATCTATCTATCTATCTATCTATCTATCTATCTATCTATCTATCTATCTATCTATCTATCATCTATCTATCTATCCATCCATCCATCCATCCATCCATCCAATCCATAGACCTTTATATCTCCCCAGTGTTGTCAGCCACTTCAGTGCTACAGTCTACAAAGCTTTTGGGTTTGGTTTTTAATTTGTTGGTTTGGGTTTGGTTCTTTTTTTCCCTTCCTCTATGGTGGAAACAATTGCCATTTTCTATCGAAGGTCTCTGGCAAAGARAATAAAAGGAAAAAAACCCACCAAAGCCCCAGTGACTTGAATTGGCTAAAGCACTTAACAGATTTATGTTGCATTTGCTGATTCCAGTGGAAAAAAWATGTAGCAAAGTTTTGGGGATAGAAAGAGCAAACACTCCATTATTGTAGATTTGAAATAGTTAATTTTGTTATTTATAAAAAAAATACCATTTCCATTTTCCTATTCAGTTACTTGATTTAGGAACTTGTTTTCTTGCATTGCATAAAATCTTTTAAAACATTAAAACAAGATGAAATGGCTTYCTGGTTGTTCCTGGTTGAGAAAAATGTGTTTTATTTAGCCAGAAATGAATACAGAGTAGCCACCTATTTGCCTAGCCCTAATTGCCCTAGCTCTAATTTGCCTAATTTTCACTTCTGTAATGGGGGAAGCCACCTGCCATTTTGCCATGGTTGTTCCCTTGTCTTCTCAAGACTGAACTGAGCTGTGGAGAGATTAAATGAATGTCTGGAATGGCAAGAGGAGTCTAGCAYGGCATTAGTTGGACCCCAGTWATCTTTCCTCTTTCCCTTTTGCTARYACCTTCCTAGCTGGCACAGCTCTGCCTGTGGTTATGCTGATAGCCTGGATGGGAACAGGTGTCTTTCAATAACAAGTCCTTACGTGAGATTATTGAGAGCCTCAGGCACAGCAGGGCCTGTGGTTATTACAATAGCACAAACACTACCTAACGAGAACATGATACWGAAAGCTCCTGCTGCCAAATATTCAAAATTCCCTGAATCAAAACCCTGACAAACTAAATGGTACCAAATTCCAAAGCATGGGGTCAGRATATAATTCACATGGAAGGGGGAGAAAAAAAGAGGCTTCTTAAAGCATGGGGTCAGAATATAATTCACATGGAAGGGGGGAAAAGCAGCTTATTGAAGCATTTGAAAATGCTCTCTACTGTTTCTCTTCTCTTTTCTCTCAGCAACCATCTCAACACTCATCTTTTGCACTCCTTGCTCTTTTCTCTCAGGTAGTGCATAACACTATGGCTCTTTGTCCTCCTGATGGAAAGATCCAGATGGAAAGAATTGTGGTTCACAGGAAAATGATCATGTTAGTAGACCTTATCTTTTAGATACTGAAATATGAAATATGATCTTCGTTTTTGTTAAGAAGGCCCTGTCTGTGTGGCTACACTTTGGTCCGAGTCTGACGCTAAGAGAACCCAGGAGTCTCTTGAGGTAGAGCTGAAAGCTTGGTGTGCAGAAACAGGCACATTTAAAAGCAATAGCAAAGTTAAAACAGCCAGATGGGARCCTAGCAGGCAACCGAGAGGGGAACTCTCTGTTTTCCTTGCAAGCCTACAGGGGCTTGTTTGCAGGAATTAGAATCTCTCACCAGCAGTTCACTGCAGCTCTAATACCAAGTGGTATTGAAAATGAGAAGCAGGTTATGGCTGATGGTTTAAATGAGGCACCTATGGGAATTTAGAAATGAGATCCTGGACTTGTCTTGGTGTCGACTGTGCACATGGCAGAGCAATATTGCTTTCTTGGCTGACTGCATCATATATTATGGCCTTTTATTTTGCCCACAGTCAAACAGCAGGGAATAGTAGAAGTTCATTGCTCCAGCTCACTGTTCAAACTCTGATCTGCCTCACCAGGGGCAGTGCCCCTGAATAATGGAAAGCAGAATCGGTCCCTCAGCCTCAGTGCGGCTGTATGTTCAATGCAGCACTGTATAAATGCTAGTGCCATTATTTTGGAGTGAAGAGAAAAGCAGAATGTACAATTAAAGCTCTGTTTGGTTCAGTTTTTAAGAGAATTTACTGCCTGGGAAAGATGCCAGATCAAGGGCTCTGGAAAACACAGCCTGCCCCACAGTCAGGAAAGAGCAGGAGCAGCCATCCAAACCTCCTCCACAGCTTCCCCCTCYGCCCAGCCCAGCCCAGCTCAGCTCAGCTGGCARATGCCACTCACCCTGCACTGGCAACTGTGTTTTACAGGGTAAGAGAAAATCCGAGTCTTCACTCTTCAGCACTCGGTCTCCCTCCTGACATCCTCTTTCACATCCGGTCTTGTACATTTATATGAGGCCCCCTCACTTCTCTAGACTGAGCTGGAAAGTACCGACTTGAGCTGGAAAGTRCCAACTTCTGCTGGCAAGGAGTCTGAGCTGGGCTGGAAAGCTAAAGGCTCCGTCCTCTGTGAGCCCTCCTGATCCTGCACATGGGGCTGGAGGGATGAGAGCTACATCCARCTGGGGACAGCAGGAATGAACAAGGTCATTTCAGTATTGGGAGCAATCACAGGGCAGGGCAGGTGAGGACAGCCAGCTTCRGGCAGGGTTTGGACAGCCAGGAGAGCTCCTGGTGGTGAGGCAGRTGCCAGGTGAAGTGGAAGACAAAGRGGGTACATGGCCAGATACAGGGATACAGGTGGGGTGGAACCCAAACATTTCAGCTCAGTGGGGTCACTGAGTGAGGCAGGGAGCCCCAGTGAGACCTCCCAGCGCTTCCTCTGGCACAGCACCTGCCAGCAGCCCCATCCCACATCACAGCCACTGCTGTCCCTGGACAAGGCAAGCCCCCAGGAGGGGCAGAGCTCAGGCTCAGTGGGGTGAGCTTCCCCTGTGCCTTGCTGGTTTGGGGGAGAGYGTGTTACTGCTGCCTTACAGAAGGGCTCCTGGGGAGCATTTCCTCTCCTTTGCACTGTAATGGATTGCACATATTTTCCAAAACACTTGTTATTCCAAGGGGGGAGAACCTTTGTGTTGCCCCCCTCCCATCTCCCCCAACCCTCCTTTTTGAGAGCCATGCAGCCTAGGAAGAGGCACTTGCCCACACACGGGGCTAATGCTGCAGGAAAGGATGTCTTTAAAATGGAGGCACTGGTTGGAAAAATAGGGAGTCCTGTTTGCAGTGACAGGTCATGGCTGTGGCATGACGACAGCTTTTACATCTGCAGCTTTCAGATTCAAAGGAGATAAAAAAAGAAGTATTACCTTAGCAGCTGGCATCTCTGAGCTATTCAATGCACCATCCCCAGCAAGACAGCGCTGCCCTCCACAGGCTCCTAGCACAATTTCCGACTTTGGGTATGTGTCGAGCCTAGAGTAATGCTTTACCCTTTATTTCTCCTCTGGGGCACAGGRTACCACAGCCAGGAATTCAAGCCCCCCAAAACTACTGATTTTTTGGATGCATCTCAACTATGCTCATCCTTCTCCCTGAATTAAAATTCTGTAGACTAAAGTCCTGCTGCCAGCAGCCATAACTGTGCTGTGTGCTGTAATCAGGGGAGCACACARTCACCATGCAGCTAACTGCTTCTAATAGTAGAAACTTCACTCTAATCTTATATAACGCCAGTAATGGAGCAGAGAGGCTGTGGCTTGTGAGGAGCTTAGACAGAAAGCTTTCTTGGGCAGCTCATGCCCTGAGGGCAGAGAAGCTGCAGCTGCAGTGAGAGCAAGAAAAACAAAATGACCTTGATATTGATAACAGTTCAGTGAGTGCTGTCACAGCCAGTGCTGTGCCAAGACTTCATTGGTGTCAAGGGCTGTTGATAGGTGTAAGTTATGGGCAGTTCTGATAAAAATGGTGTCAGAGAGGCCAGACAGAGAGAGGGATGTGGGAAATAATGTCTTGCAGTCTGCAGGAAAGACAAACAAGGATGTTAATATATTGCTATTAAAAGGGGCTCCAAAGCATTGCACTTCTGCAGGCAGTATGGATTTGTGTGACTGTGGATTAAAGGGTTTTTTTTTCTTCTCCTTGATTTACTCCTCAAATGATTTTTATCTGACTGCTGCTGTCAATACAAAATTGACAATGCTGTCAAGTTTGTAAGATTTCAGAATATTTGAAGGCACGAGAAAGGGGTTTTGATATTCCTCAGTCGTTTGGCAGGGGTAGCTTTGAGCTGTCTGTCTCTCTGTGCACTTTTAACATAAGCAGTGAAGTGCTCTCCTTGCTTTACCTTGCTTGAAAGGGTACATAGAAAAAAGGCACTTTTTTTCTAAGGTTGACAAAGCTGTACAAATTCTTTGCTGTGGAATCAAGAGTGAACTTCAAAACTCTACAGTGGAAGATCTATTTTGGCACTTGGGTTTTTCAGGCACATCATAGAGCTTTCCAGYGACATGCTCAGTTCTGTTGGAGCAGGGTGGAATGTTTTTTCTCAAGATTTTTTTTTTTCAACTCCTGACTTTAAAATCATTTGATTTTGATTAAGTCATCTTTTAAGAAGGGTGATTGTATGTCACAAAGGAATTGACCACTGATGTGGTCAATTGACCACTGAGTGCACAAAAATAACTAAAAGGAGATATTAAGATATAGAACTGGGGCTTCCTGTCTCTTGCAAACATTTGATTACATGTCTGATGTGTTTTTGCTCCTAATTTCTTACCTGAAATTTGAAGAAATAAAATWGTGAGTGGTTTTCCTGTTGCACCTCCCTGGTGCCTGACCCTGCTGCAATGTCTCTGTGRGAAGCAGCATGGTGTTGCCTCACTCCCTAGACTGAGGCTGTGTGAGTCTTGCAGTTGGCCAGGCAGGGCAAAAGCAAGGGTCGTTATGTGCCAGCAAGCTTYTGGAGGTATTTTCACTTTATCTGGCCAGGGTTTATACTGTTGTTTTTCTGACTGTGTTTGGGGCTTGGTGGACTGCAGAYGGATGCAGGGCTGGTAGGAAGGGTTGATGGAGACATGAAGAGCCTCCAGCAAAGCAGCATCCTCAGGGCTCCCATGATGGACACAGGAGCACAGGCACAAGGGAGGCGCGTGGCCTTGCTGCGGGTTGTGCCTGCTGCAGGTGCTTTATAACAGACAGTTTGGGAACACACTGCAAACGTAATGGTCCCTTTTCCCGAAACCTCAGTGCCTCCAGTGCAGCCTTGGGAAGGCTGTCCTCTGCCTGACAAAGTTGCTGTGAGCAGGAATGCATTAAGGACTGRGAGATTCTCAGGTACAATGGCAATGGGAGCCACCTGAGGGCTATAAATAGCACTAACATCCTTTCTCTTCAATGCATCCCAAGCAGGCATTTTTGCAGGTGCTAGTGAAAATGAACAAAGCTTTGAAGAGCTTTTATTTATGTTCTTTTTTCGGGCTGGAATTTTGCAATAAATGCCTCTGAATTATGCATTTATTTAGAGGGAAAATATTGGCACTTTTTCTTTCTTTCTTTTTTTTTTTAATTGTCATATATAATTTTCATATTTTTACCTCAACTATGTGGGAAGAACTGTTGTGGCAGGAGAGTGGGTCTCACAAGTATTCATTTTCAAATAACCTCTGGTGATTGCAGGAAAAGGGGAAAAAAACAGCAACCTAAATTCAGTCTTATACACACATTTTAAACAAAATAATGAAAATGGTTTAGAATTAAGCAAAAAATGCAAAGTGTTTGGGCAGGTTTTATGGTATTTACATCAAGAGATCCAACAGAAATAGTTGTTGCAGTAAAAGGAAAAGCTCTACAAGTTTATCAGAGAAGATCTTCCTATGGTTTGATAGAAAACAAAGATGGCTTTGTCAAGGAGCTATGAAGACCCGAGAGCAACACTGGCAAAAAAGGACTCTTTTCACAATATTTAGGGTTCACTTGATGCTGTCTTGGTATAAAAAGTCTCACCTGTTATGCAACTCTCCTTTGCTCTCTGTAGACATTCAGGAAACAAAACAGACATTTTGCTCTGGGATAACCAAAGARCCCCTGCTGCAAGATCGACCAGTAGAGCTGGAAGAATTAGTCAAGCTTTTAAATATGCAAGAGGGGCTGAATTTTTTTGCAGTGATGCCAACTAATATAATTATAGATTAGACACCCCTTGTCTTAGGCCAGCGGGCAGCGCTGCTGTGAGTGCTGTGCTTTTTTCTGCTGCCACAAGATGGCAGGAAAAAACAATGTTAGTTGATTTAAAAAYCCACTGAGATGGGCATGGCACGGCGGAATACRCTCCCGACCGGCGCTTAAGGGGAGSGCTGACAGCAAACCGTGCACGTTGGATAGAAGAAAAATGTGAAATGTACGGAATTAATTAGATTGGTATTGACCTGGGTGCATACATCAAAAGATCTACATCATGTCCTTTTCCCATGCAGGTTTTCTCTATAAGAAAAGCCTGTGACAGTGCTCATTTTTCCTTGTACACCATGCAGTTTGGCCTGGTTTAGTTCTGCTGGCAAAATCTGCTGTACAAACCWGTTCAAGACATAATGCCTTCACCTAAAGTGAAAAGCAGGGGTSATTATTTTAGTCTTTTATTCTGCCTTTTTCCAAATGCAGTTCTCTTCCCATTTCCTGTTCCTCCAGCCAAAAGCTGGAAGATACACATCTGTCCTGTTTCTTGTTCTGGCTTCCCCTAGACTCTGCTCTGGGCTGATGGAGAATGAATAACTAGCCAGACCTTCAGCTCTAACCTGCATTGGCACCTTTTTCACCTGTCTTGTGARTGCAGTGTCCACAGTACTCATTACTAAATACTGAATTCTGTTACATGGGTACCAAGCATCCAGAATCTGCCTCCCACACCGGGAATACATTTGTCACTATGAACCAAGATGCATTTCACAGTGACAACATGGAGGAGAGTGACAAGGCATCCAGAGTGAAGAAGCAGAAGCAAAATACTTCAAGCAAATTTCAGCWGTTGTGATGATGAGGGAAAAGAACAGATTATATGAGCACCCATCACCCGGGCAGGTACACTCTTGCCCCATAAGATGATGCTAACACAGACCCCAATGCCCTCACAACCKTTCCCCTCTGGATTATGATCCTACTTGGATTTTAAGGTATTTTTTGCTTGTTTTCCTTCTTTTGATAAACATATTTTGGTCTTGGTTTGGTGCTGCAGTTAACAGCTTCATTTTGTGAGGAAAGAAAGTGATGGAAGGTCTGCAGCTGCTGGCAACACAAGAACATTGCCAGGACCYGAGAGCTTTATTTTGCCCTTTGGCTGCCTTCCTCTGAGTTATGGGGTCCCACCTACTATTCAGAAGTAGATGAAGCCATCCTGGAAATTAATTCTTTTAAATGAGCACAAAAT